GGAGATGGGGTCTGTCTACATTGCCCAGGCCAGTCTTGAACTCCTGGGCTCAAGCAATCCTCCCACTTTGGCCTTGCAAAGTGCTATGATTTAGCCCATAGCCCATATCTATTTCTTGAAGATACATTCCTAGGAGTGGAATAGAGAGTCATGGGGGAATCACATTTCAAAAGCTTTTCTTCTGCACTTGACTTAAGGCTGAGAGGGTTCTGAACAAGAAGAGGGCATTTCAGGCAGAAGAAACACCAGGGGCAAAAGCTCCAGGGTGGGACATTGAGAGTTCTCTTAAGGCCATTTGAAAATAGCAGGTAGGGCCCTGCTGCTTGTCCAGCGAACCCAGGAGGCGGGGTGGGGTGGGGCCTCACTGTTCTGGGTCCCGCACTCCATCCAGGGCCACCCTCTCCTCCCTGAGCAGCCTCAACCAGGGAGTGGGGGACAGGCCAGGCTGACGCTGAGGCTGGAGCTGCTGGTGTTCCTGATACTGACAAGACCCGCCTCCAGCCAGTGCCCCTGCTCTGCCCCAAGGCCACTCTGCAAACCCACCTGGGTCTTCCTTCTAAAGCTCAGCCCATGTCACATCAGCTCCCCTGTGGCTTCGTCCCATAAGTTAATGGCTGGCTGTAATGCCTTTAGGAACTCCTGGGGGCCTTCAGTCTTCCCTGATGCACAGGCTGCGCCATGCTCTGCCTGCTTCCTGCACTCCTTCCTGTCTCCTTTGCATACTTCTGGCCAACCTAGATTCTTCTAATGTCTCAGCTCCTTCCCATGGAACAGCCTTCCCCCACACCAAACTGGATGGAAACCCCCATAGGGCAGGGATTGCAAAGAGGGCTTTGAAGTCCTGACCCCTGAAGACAAGGTCATAGTGAGCAGCTGGGGCTGGGGCTCAGTTCTCTAGGTGACAGGTATGAGGGATGCCTGATCTCCAGGGAAACTTCAGGACAGGTCCTGATCTTCTGGGTCATATAGAACCCTGCTTCCTTCCACTTCCCGACTGCCCCAGAGCCCAGTCCCTGACTCCTTGCCTTGGTCCGTCCATCCCTGCTTCCAGACCAGCTAGAGCCAGGCTGGGGTGCACACACGCACAAATCTCCAGACTCACCCTGGGAGACGCATTTCCATCCTTATCAGTGATTTCCATGGCGGGCTCACTGGGCACCTCCCAGTCTGTCCCTCAGGAGGCCCTGGCCCTGGGCCTGGTTGCCCTGGGGGATGTGGCCTGCTTGAAAGAGGGGCTTCTCCTGCATCCAGAGGGCATGCAGAGTGCAGGGCCTGAGGTGTAGCCTGAAGCTGTCACCACGAACAGAACATTTTATCTGAAAATTAATTCAGATGTTGCATTCCACTCCCTAATGTGGCTGCTTAGTTTTGATATTAAAATATTGGTTTTGTTAATTACCATCGAGTAAACTGATATTCCAGGTCATGTCACAAGCATCCTGTGATCTCATTCATCCCCATCTAACCCTGGGCGGCAGGGGATCAGTGCCACAGTCTAAGGAACCCTCCCACTCCACCCAGCCACCCACCCCACCATATTCTCTGCACAAGGAGCCCGCTGGAGTCATGCAATCCAGAGGCCTTAGTGAGAAGGCCACCAGATTGGGGCTGGAAGACCTGGGTTCTGTCATAGTTTGTCGTTATGTGACTGGGGCTAGCAGCTCTCCTCTCTGGGCCTCTGTTTCCTTGTGTGACACATGGAAGCCGTGGACAGTCTCCACACGGCTGGACAGTGCCTTCCAGGTCACATTGCAACTCCGGTGGCAGGAAGTGCAGGCCAGGTGATCAGCCACAGGGAGCGATGGGAAGTGGAGAATCAGTGGGGGAGCTTGAACTCCCCTCAAATCACAAACTGCAGGCGGGTGGTACTTCACAGCACCTCCTGGGTCACCTCCCTGCCCCAGTGTCACAGGCACAGCCTCTGCATCCAGAAGGAGACAGAATCTCCAGGGAACTCTGCTCCCACTGGTGCCTGTCTGCAAGTCTTCTCCAAGGCCGCCTTCTCCTGGGGGCTCCCAGGTCTGCACATGAAGCCATCCTGCAGCAGCTTCTCAAGGATGAGGAAGGGGCAGCTGCATGGCCTTCTGGCTCAATGCAACCCCCAAGCCCCAATCTACTGCCTCAGCAGAGCCAGGGAGTCCAAGCCAAGCCTTCCCAGCCAATGCAGAATCTTCCCCTAGAAGCAAGTGTGACTACCTGCCCTCTTTCTCTGCTATATGCAAATGGGGTTCTCCCCTTACCTGCCCTCTTTCTCTGCTATATGCAAATGGAGTTCCAGCCCCCCACTGCTCTGAGGCTGCTGTGGCCTCCCTCTGGCGCCAGCCCACACACCCACTCACTGGAGGAGCCCGACAAGCTTCATCTGGGTGTCACCAAACCTCAGTCTATGAAGAAGGAACCTTTTCTGGCTTCCCCTTACAGCTCGGCAACTCTGTCTTGCCCCACCCTGCTGCAGAAGTGGCTGAAATCCTGATATTAGTTTGGTTTTGTTTAGCAAACAGGGAGTATGCAAAGCAGCTCTCAATCCGTGTGTGTGCATGCGCATTGGAGATGAGTCAGGAGCCCATTCCAGACCTGGGCCCGGAAGTGTGGCTCTGGGCAAGGCCCTTCCTTCTCTGGACTTCACTGTCCTGGACTGGAGAAGAGATGGGAACAGGTGGTCTCTAAGGCTTTGTTGGCTCTGGTGCTCTGGCCACCAGGGTCCCTCCTTCTCCTGATTTCAAGAACTGGCTTTCAAGACAGGACACCCACAGGGAGCCAGCTGAGGAGGCTAGACCACCCTCCCATGCAAATCCCAAACCCACCCTCACACACCTGACAGGTTTGCTTAGAGGCATTCTGGCTAAAGGAAACAGGAAGAGCCTCTGGCAGGAAATGGATGTCAGGGTTCCGCACAGCCAAACACAGAGCCTGGGGGTGGGTGAGAATTCCAAGCCCCTGGCACACCAGAGGAGAGAACTGGAAGAAACACTTTTGGGTCTCAGTGGGAGAGGCTCCCACTCCAAGAAGAGAGCCTCCACTCAGAATCAGTTTTCTGATCCCAATTCTGCCTTTGCCTGCTGTGTGACTTTGGGCAAGTAGGCCAACCTCTCCCTCTCTCTCTGGTTCCCAAATTAACCTTAGGGAAACACTGAACACCAAGATCCTCCCCTTGGGATGGACACACGTGTGTTACACATGATAGGCTCTGAGAAGCATTTGCAATAAAGGATTTCACTGAACATGAACCCAGAGTTCCTTCCAGTTATCTGAGTGATGTGATCTCTACTCCGTCTGAAGCAAACGAACCCTTGGAGGCTGGTGGTGTGTGCTTGGGGAGCACCAGAACGGGGCCGAAGCATGTCCAGCCAGCTCCGCGGGCCTCTCTGCAGTCACAAACATGAGTCTGAGGACTTGTCATTCACTTCCCTGACGATCAATGTGAACAGCTTCTAGTTTGACCCATGTCTGAGCTGTCCACCGTGGATGGAAATCAGGCCTTCGCGTGGGACATCCGCCAATGCATGACAGGTTGAGCCTCACAAGTTGACATGTGCTCAAACACGCATTCAATGAGTCCGTTCATGAACCCAAGGCTAAATCACACTATCCACAGAAACCATCTGACAATAGCAGCATTTCTTTGGAAATAATCCTTCTTTCTCTAGGTAAGGATAAGCCCTAGTATTTATTTATTTATTTTTATGGCTGACATTTCTGAGCCTCAGTTGCCCCTTCTGGAAAATGAGAGAATGGCATTCCATGGCAGAGGGTTGTGGATTAGAGACAATGTGTGGAAACCCTTGGCTTAGCTCAGTACCTGCAAGTTCATTCAGAGGTGCCCACGGCTGTGGGCTGCGAGCAGGGGGGCAGCTGGAGCTCAGACAGAAGACCTCCTACTGAGGGGAAAGTTATCCACACGGAACTGCCATTCCATGTTTAATGGTTCCTAAGCTGTAAGCAAGGAGACTGAGTTGCTCAGTATCAAAGGAGAAGGAGGACTTCTGGTTGGATGACCCAGGGAGGCTTCATGGAGGAGATGGCTAGTAGGCCTTGCAGGATGGACAGGACTTCGGTAAGGGATGTTCACAATTCAGCAGCACTTACTACATGCTGGGCTGGCCCTGCATGCCACCTTGTAAGAATGGTCTCAGCGAATCGGTGGAAGGGACTACTGCATTTGCCATTTTACAGAGGAGGAAGCTGAGCCCCAGAGAGGTTCAGGAACTCACCTGAAGTCACACAGCTAGTCAGGTGCAGCACCAGGCTTAATTAACTTCAGCACACCTGCAAAGTCCCTTTTGCCATATAAGGTCATGTTCACAGGTTCCAGGGTTAGGATGTGGATATCATCTTTGGGGCCCTTATTCAGCTGACCACAGTGATTATGTTAAGAACCTTGAGATGGGACAAAGTATACCTGAGCTCAATGTAATCCGAAGGGTCGTTCTAACAGAGAGGCCAGAGGGTCAAAGGCAGAAGACAGAGACCCGATGACAGAAGCAGAGGTCCAAGTGACGTGCTTTGAAGGCAGAGGAAGGGGCCAAGAACAGAGGAATACAGACGGCCTCGAGAAGGAGAAAAAGACAGGAAAACAGACTCTCCTGGGAGCCTCCCACAGGAAGGAACGCAGTCCTACAAACACCTTGATGAGACTTGTTTTGAGTTCCTGGCCTCCAGAATTGTAAGAGAATAAACGTGTGTTGTTTTAAGCCACTAAGTCTGTGGTCATTTGTCACAGCAGCCACAGGAAGCAGATACTGCCCCAGCTGCAGTGGCCTTGCCCACCCCTGTGGTCTTGTCGCACAGGCCCCTTATGCTTGCTACCGGCTCGTCAGTGGGTCTGTGCACATGGGGGCCGAGTACAGGTCTCCACGACATGCCTGTGATCACCTCCATAGCCTTCTCTGCTCCTCAAGACTCCCCCAATAGCTCAGGCTATTGAGGGACAAAGGCCTCAGGACAAAGCCTCGTGCAGTCACCCTGGACCTCGCAGGCACTTAATAAATGCTGGTCACATGGCAGCAAATCTGTGTCTTTAATTTTATTGACAGCAATTAAGAGAACAGGCTTTCAACAGCAGTAACTGCCAATTTCTCCAGCCTCATGGCCTGGCTGTAGAACTGGAATCCCCAGTGGCCAGCTGAGTGCTGGTCAGAAGTAGGGGACAGTCAGCACATCTGGCCGAAGTAGAGGGGGTGCCAGGCCTCTGACTGGGGTGGGAGGCAGCTCTGACTCTCTACCTGTTGCAGCCAGAAAGAGGTCCACTAAAATCCAGCGTGACCAGTCCCAGCTCAGTGGGCAGCAGGCCTCTCCGTGGGTCCCAGCTCTGGTCTACTCTCGGCATTCCTGTCTCCCTGCGGGTATTTTAGCTTTCTGTGCTGTGCTAGAGGAAGGCACCTGAGCACACCTGGAAACAACTTGTGTTCAGAAAGACCCAGGCAGGCTCCCACACTTGGCAGCAGGAGAAATGTTGATCCAGAGAAGGAAAGTGACTTGCCCAAGGTCACACAGCAATTTGGTGAGTCTCAAAACAAGCTGGAAGACTCCCGTCCAGTCCCATCTCCAGGAGACCAAAGATCTGGGCATGTAAGGCTGGCTTCCAGGTGACAGGATTGCAGGGCAGGCTGGCCAGGAGCTGGGAGCTGGCACAGCCTCACTTGAGATTGTGCTGGCTCTCGCGGTGCCGCCTCAGGTCCACCTTGCGCTGGAAACCCTTGGCACACAGCTCACAACTGAAGGGCTTGAAGCCCGTGTGCTTGCGGCTGTGGGTGATGAGGTTGGAGCTCTGGCTGAAGGCTTTCCCACATACCTGGCACTTGTGCGGCTTCTCACCTGCAGGGAGGGCAGCACGGCACAGCAAGGGTGGGGTCAGGGCTTCCTCACCAGGCCTGCCGCTCCCCAGTCCCACCCCCAGGTTCATTTACCAATACCTCTCTCTGTTTTCTCTCATGGCCAACTCACATTCACTTTAGAAAATAATCAGAAAAGAGAGAGAAGCAAAGATACAACTCGGACCCTCCTCCCACCCCTACTGGATTATAGGGTGGTTAGGGGCAGTGGCCGAGTCATCTTGCTTATCAACACATCCCCAAGCCTGGTACACCTGGCACAAAAGAGGCACTCAGCTAATATCGAGAAGGGAATGAATAAGCAAATGAATGAACGAATGAGTGAACAAATGAATGAGTGGGTGAACAAATGAATGAGCAAATGAGAGAGTGAGTGAGTAACAAATGAACGAGCAAATGAGTGAACACATGAATGAATGAGTGAACAAATGAATGAGCAAATGAGTGAACAAAGAAATGAGCAAATGAATGAGGGAACTGAGTGAACAAATAAATGAGCAAATGAGTGAACAAATGAATGAGTGAACAAATGAATGAGCGAATGAACAAATGAATGAGCGAATGAGTGAGTGAACAAATGAATGAGCAAATGAGTGAACACATGAATGAATGAGTGAACAAATGAATGAGCAAATGAGTGAACAAAGAAATGAGCAAATGAATGAGGGAATTGAGTGAACAAATGAATGAGCAAATGAGTGAACAAAAGAATGAATGAGTGAACAAATGAATGAGCGAATGAACAAATGAATGAGCGAATGAGTGAGTGAACAATGAATGAGCAAATGAGTGGACAAATGAATGAGCAAATGAGTGAATAAATGAATGACCAAGTGAGTGAGTGAATGAGTGAATGAATGAATTAGCAATTCACCTGCTAGTCTCACTTCTGCCATGAGATCACCAGTGTTGAGATTTTGCTGTTTCCGCCTGTATTTTTTCCAGGCATTAAGTGCACTTAAGTAGCACAGGCAGCCAGCTCTCCAACAGCAGTGGCCCTCGGCTTTGTAACTAGACCCCACCCACAACCTCACACCGGGGCCTTCGATGCATTTCTCAGTGAAAGGTGCGGGTGCTCCACCCAAGGGGACTCCGGCTGGCCGGGTGAGGTTCACTCACCCGTGTGGATGTAGGTGTGCTTCTTCATGTCTGACTTCTGGTGGAAGCGCTTGCCGCAGAACTGGCAGGGGTAGGGCCGCGTGTCTGAGTGGATGAGCAGGTGGGTGGACAGTGTAGACGAGCGCTTGAAGGCCTTGCCACACATGCGGCACTCGAAGCTGCGCTCCTGCCGGAGGAAACGAGGCCCCGGGGGGTCAGGGGCAGGCGCAGGACAGGACCCGGCCGGGATGCCCTGTGGAACAGGACAGTCCGTTGGGGGCGCCTCGAGAACAGGGCCTGGAGGGCCAGGACCAGGGACCCCTCATCTATGCCTCTCAGGAGGAACTGGGGCTTGGAGCCTCTTTGGCCTCCTGTGGGATTTTTATTTGTAATTTTCACAGTATCCCGCTCAAAATAAACCTCAATGAATGTTTGTTGATTGACTGATGGACTGACTGATCTAAGAGGTTTTTTAGGGGTTCACATTTCATGACCATTAACCCAGAGTGAGTTCCTTGAGGCAGGGATGGTTGTGGTCTGCACAGAGGTTTAGTTAAGAGTCTGAAGTCTGTTAAGGGCAGGTGTTGGGGGCCCAGACTCAGGGAGGTGGGTTCTAGGGGACCTCCCCCAATTCTTGTCACTCGTAGGGGCAGGGAGAGGGACCCAGCTGCAGCCCTCAGGCTCCCTGGGGAAGCACAGAGAAGGGGGCTGGGAGTCCTGCGCTGGGCCAGGTGCCCACCTGGGAGTGAACGTGCGTGTGCTGCTCCAGGCTCACGGCGTGGCCGAAGGTTTTGCCACAGATGTCACAGGCGAAGGGCCGGGTCCCACTATGGGAGCGTCGCACATGCACTTCGAGCCCGTGAGGGGTGGAGAACACCTGGGAACAGGGGCAGCGTGTGAGGCCACTGGGGGCTGCAGAGAGGGGGACAGGCCTGGGGTCCCGTGGTCTCTTCCCTGCCCAGCTCCAGCCAAGGCTGGGTGCACAGGGGAAGAGGCACTGGACTGCTGGCTCTGCTGCTTGTTTGCTGTGTTTTCTGGGGAGGTCCTTTTCTCTCTCTGTGGCTCAGTCTCCCATCTGCAAAGTTGGATGTGAGAGAGGGAATCTGGAACTCCTCCTTGCCTCACCTAAAGGCTGAATAGCCTAGTGGTTAAGAGCTGGGAGTGCCAGAGCCGAGTTTGAGTGCTGGTCCTGATACCTACTTGCTGTCTGATCGTGGAAATGACCTAACTTCTCTGAACCTTAGTTCTTCACTGCCTCCTGGCACTCATGCCTGTCAATTGCTTTGTACAGGGCCAGGAACATGGTCAGAGCTCCATGATTGGTGATGAGGACGAACGTTTTGAATTCTTAATCCCACCAGAGTCCCAACATTCACAGCACAGGGAACGCCCAGAGCTGCCAGTGCACTGGAGAGCAGGTGCAGAGAGCGGGCCATGTGCCCACCCACACCCCTGCTGCCCACCTTGTTGCACTTTACACAGTGGTACACGTCCATGCCCGGGGAGTAGCGGAGGCTGAAGTCCAAGGGGGGCTCCGTGCTGGGCACCAGAGGGCTGCCGTACAGGCTGACAGAGTGCTCCAAGAAGGCTGACTGCATGGTGGAGGGGGCCTGCCGGTAGCTGTGGCCATAGGTTGAGGCCAGGGTGTCCCAGGAGAAGCTGGGCTTGTAGAACGGGGGTGAGTCAGACAGTGGAGAGTCCCCATCCTGTGGTCGGGACAGCACAATAGGGCCCTCTGTGGAAATAGGGACACATGCCTGGTTACTCATTTAAACACAGGGGGCTGGGCGCAGTGGCTCACACCTGCAATTCCAGCATTTTGGGAGGCTGAGGCAGGTGGATCACTTGAGGTCGGAGTTTGAGACCAGCCTAACATGGTGAAACCCTGTCTCTACCAAAAATACACAAAAATTAGCTGGGTGTGGTGGCGCATGCCTATAATCTCAGCTACTAGGGAGGCTGAGGTGGGAGAATCGCTTAAACCCGGGAGGTGGAGGTTGCAGCGAACTGAGATTGCACCACTGCACTCCAGCCTGGGCAACAGAGAGACCTTGTCTCAAAAAATAAAATGAAATAAAATAAACACAGGGCACCCACTCCACACCACTGTCCACTCCCCCCGCTTCATGACTTCATGTAATGGGTTTTAGGGTGTCAACCCAAATACTTATCGTTGGGGGTGTCTGTGTCCTCACTGTGGCTCCTCAGCTTTTCCAGCCCAGAAACACCACCACCCTCACTCTGGAGTGCCCACCTCAGTCCTGCATGGACCGGCCCAGCTGCTCCTTCTGACCTCTTCCCCCACCTAAGCTCACATCTGGGGATTAGCTCCCTGTCTGGGAGGTCCAAGCAGAAGCCACAGAGCCTGGGCTGCATCCAGTGACCTCATGGGCTCTTCCTGACTCTAGGGCCCCAAGGGACCTGCTGCAAGGGTTCCTTCCTCCTTCCTCCCTGTGGCACTCCCTAGGGAATGACTGGGGGTTGCAGCTGGGTACCTGGTGCTGGGACCATCCTGGCCAAGTTCTGGTCCTGCTCCAGCTCCGGCTCTCGTTTGAGGCTGGTCCAGTCTAGGCACTGGCTTGGGAATAGGGTGCTGAGGACAGGGCTGTTGATGAGGGCCTGGTCTCTGGCTGCTGTGGGGAGATAGGACCATCGGCATCAATAGTTGAAGCTTCTGGGAAGCCCAGAGGAGCAAGGAGGGCACTCTCTTCCTAGGAGGAGGAGGCCCAGAGACAGACCTACTTGCCGCTGCCTCTGGTCACTCACACTCTGGGGCTCTGCCCAGGGCAGCGGGGCAGGAAGAACAGGAGGAGACTGTGGGGAAGACTTTAGACCAGTTCGCTTTTCTGAGTAACCAGACTCTATCCCTAGATTGGGCCTCCAGTGAGGCCCCACGTGTCAGTAACTGAGCACTAGCTCCAACCTAAGGCTTTCATCTCCCAGCAGGGCAGAAGGGATGAGGGCATCCTTTCATCTGCAACCCACATTTACTGCATTCCTGCTTCCAGACCTGAAAGAAGAGGCTGCTGCAGGAGGGATGCCACTGCACTCCCATCACGCAGAGCAGAGAGCCCCCGTGGGTGCAACAGGGGCCAGCTGGGCTCTGACTCACCTGGGGTAAGGGCAGGAGGCCAGAGTGGTTCATCCTCCTGCGCACGGGGCTGGTGGTAGGTGTGAGCCTTCTTGCTCTTCACTAGGAAGGAGCGTGGCATTTTCAGTGTGCGCCTCACACCTGGAAGGGGGAGGGATGGGAGCAGTGGGGAAGGACAAGAGAACAACACCCTCCATATCTCAGAACCTCAACCGGGTATAGAGATTGAACACCAGCTATACCCGGTTGAATAGTGCCCCCCAAAGTTCATGTCCACCCAGAACCTGTGAATGTGACCTTATTAGAAATAGTGTCTTTTTGCAGATGTCATCAAGCTATGATGAGGTCATTCCGGGTTAGGATGGGCCCTGAATTCAGTATGACTAGTGTCCTTATAATAAGAGGGACTTCCGGAGGCCAAGGCAGGTGGATCAGCTGAGGTAGGGAGTTCAAGACCAGCCCGGGCAACATGATGAAACCCTGTTTCTACTAAAAATACAAATACTAGCCTGGCGTGGTGATGCATGTCTACAATCCCAGCTATTTGGGAGGCTGAGGCAGAAGAATCGCTTGAACCCAGGAGGTGGAGGTTGTAGTGAGCCAAGACCACTCCACTGTATTCCAGCCTGGGCAACAAGAGTAAAACTCTGTATCAAAAAAGAAGAAGAAAAAGAAAAAGGAGAAAAAAAAAAAGAGGAGGAGGAGGAGGAGAAGGAGAAGGAGGAGGAGGAGGAGGAGAAGGAGGGGGAGGAGGAGGAGGCAATTTGCACCAAGAGACACAGACAGCCAGGGACAATGCCATGTGACAGCAGACTCAGAGAGTGATGCTTCTATCAGCCGGAGAGTGCCAGGCAGGGCTCAGAGCCACCAGAATTGGGAGAGGCACATGAACAGTGGGTTGGAGTCTTCAGAAAACACCCACTTTGCTGACACCTCGATTTTGGATTTCTAGACCCCAGAACCGTGAAAGAATACATGTGTGTCATTTTTTTTTTTTTTTTTTTTTTTGAGACGGAGTTTCGCTCTTGTTACCCAGGCTGGAGTGCAATGGCACGATCTCGGCTCACCGCAACCTCCGCCCCCTGGGTTCAGGCAATTCTCCTGCCTCAGCCTCCTGAGTAGCAGGGATTACAGGCACACGCCACTGTGCCCAGCTAATTTTTTGTAATTTTAAGTAGAGACGGGGTTTCACCATGTTGACCAGGTTGGTCTCGATCTGCCGACCTCGTGATCCACCCGCCTCGGCCTCCCAAAGTGCTGAGATTACAGGCTTGAGCCACCGCGCCCGGCCATGTGTGTCATTTTTAAGCCACCCGTTTGTGTCGTTTTGTTACGGCAGCTACAAATCCTAACTCCCCTCACTGCTCCTTCACCAGAGAGCGAATGCATCACCCCCTAGAAAACCCTGTGACTAGCCTGCTCCCATTGACATGCTCGGGGTTGCACTGGAGCAGAAAAGGAAAGGCAGGGGCGGGGTCTCCCTCTGTGACACATGGTAGCCCCACTTCTAGAAAGCTACATATGGGTCCCAGTGAGATTCACCTTCAGAGGCCATAGAAACAGGTGGGCTTAGGTTTTGGAATCCGAGTTCATGAGTTAGAATCTCAGCTCACTTGCTGTGCAATTTGGGACAGACACTTAACCCCTCTGGGCCTATTCCCTTTGCTGTAAGAAAGGACGTCCAGGCTTGTAGTGCTGACGAGTGCATCACAGTTGCTCAGTGTCCATCACAGGGGGCCCTGGCAGAGAGGCTGCAGCGAGCAAGAGGACATTGCCAATCCATGCGCTCCTGCAAGCTGTGAGCCACTGCTGCCAGAGCAGGGCTGCGCCCAGAGTCTGGTCCCTAGAGAGATGGGGGCCTTCTGTCTCTGGGGAGTGGGGTAGGGGGACTCAAGACCTGAGAGGACCCACCACTCCACTGCACCTGGAGGCCTGAGGTTTCATGGACACAGGAGAAGAGGCGAACATCCCCCAGCTTCTGTGGGCAGCCCAGCCCAGCATCACCACTCACCCCACCGATCAGGGAGTGGGGGAAGAAACCAAGGACCTCATCGGTCAAGGGACCATCCCAGGCAGGGCCGGGAAGTGGCAGGGCTGGACCATCCTGACCACCCCAGGACTTCTGGCTTCCCCTGCAGAGCCCACGGAGCTGACAGCCCCGCCTGGCACCCAGAATGGTTCACATCCCTGCACTCAGCCTGTGAGGCTCTCCTGGGGGCTCCTGAGAACATCTTCTGGTGGTTCTCTATCTTTTCTGCCCCCATGCTGTACCCTGGCCAATGCCAGGCCCATGCCTGAGGCCTTGGAGGAATCAGACCCCAATCCCTTGGGCCAGCCGCCATGCAAGGCTGCAGGGCTGATAGGGCCCAGAGAAGGCGGGAAAGGGATTCCAGCTGCTTCAGAACAGCAGTGAGGGCCTGGGTGATAAGGCCTCAGCCAGGGAACAGGGTGGGAGGTGGGAGATTAGAGAATGCAGCTTGGAAAAGGGCCAGGGACTCACCCCTTCCCCAAGTGGATGACCCAGAGCCAGGCAGAAGAGGGGCCTGACTGTGCCCAGGCCTGCTTCCCCCTGCCCCAGATCCTGGGGCATCAAGAGTTTGAACTGTGGGGACTTCACACAGGGGGCCCAGGCTCAGGCCCAGCCCTTCCCGGCTGTAAGGCTCATTGCTGAGCCTCAGTGTTCATATCTGCTAAATGGGGATCCCATCCAAACCCATGGGATCTCAGGGAGCGAGAAAGGACCTTTATCCATCAGGAGCAAGTATGGGAGGTGCTCAGCACGTGCCCCCTGCATCCCAGCACCCCGCCTGCTGCAGGTGCATTCAAAGGACAGGGTGAGCCCTGCGCCAGGGGCTGCAGCAGCCCCCCGGAATCCAGGGGCACACTCAAGGCCCTGTACTCTCTAAGCTCTAAAATTAGGAAAAAGGACCTTGAAGGCCTCTGGGGTCCCTTCCCGCGGTCAGATTCTCAGCCTTCTGAACACAGGCTCGGGCTGGGGGCAGCCCACGGCCTTATCTCCCAGGGACACATCTTCCTCCTCCTGCCTCCTCCCCCTCCCTCACCAGGGCTCCCCACACCCACCTTCCTGCCCGCTTCTAATTCTTCTTTGCTTCAGGAAAGCCCCTGGGGAGGCCAGACCCTGGGTGGAGAAGAGGGGACCCCATGAGCAGGGGAAGGGCTGGGGGTTTGCACTTTGTTTTCAGGGGGCCTGTGAGGGCCATGGTTTGCCCATCAAAATATCAAAAGATGGTCGTTTTTACACATAACATTTATGAGGAAATCAACTAGAACCAAAGGTACTCGCTGAGGTCTCTGTGATAAGAGGCACTGGCCAACGCTTGTGGCAGGGGCTGCTTAGCCTGCCTTGCTTATCACACCTTTAACCCTGACCATGGTTGTGATGCCGAGTCCCACTGCTGTCCCATTTTGTAAAGGAGGAGTTGAAGTCTGGAGGACTCAGGGCCCCGGGGCAGAGTGAGCAGGACTGGGGTCTGTCTATCTGGCCCCCAGGTCTCCATGCCCTTGACTTTCAACCCAGGAGGTGGGCAGTTACTCGGTGCAGCATGGGTAGTAAGCGCTGGGCAGTGCCCGGCACGGCTGTCTCTCTGCAGAGGGAATGGAGCGGATGTGCTAAGGATGAAAACAGGAGTTTGAAGCTCCCCGGTGTGCCTGTGTCAAACAGTGTCTTCCCAGGTTGCAGATGGGAAAACTGAGGTATAGACAGGAAAGTGACTCAAGCCCAGGGCTCCTGGCCTGTTAAGGATTTCACTCTCAAGCCACTGTGCCGCCCAGTGCCGTCAGAGGTCCTCAGAGCACCCAGCGAACACAGCCTGCAGCACAGAGAGAAATGCAGGGTGCTGGGGCAAGAGGGGAGAAAGTCTCTGACCCCCAGGTCTTTTCCAGGCTCCTAAAAGACCCCTGTGGCTCCTGAAGAGTCTCAGTGGGGCCAGGCCGGGAACAGACTTCCCTTTAGGAAGTATTGGTCTTCCCTTCAGCTCAGGGTCCATGGAGACCCCAGGTCAACTGACTCCAGCCCGGGACCCCACAATAAGGACACTTTCTAGTGCTAATGAGTCCTGGCCAAGCAATTTCCACTTAGGCATGGTGTAAGCGGGGGCTGGCTGCTGGGATTCTCCAGCCGCAGGAAAGTGATTCCCGTGCCTTTTCTAGTGACCTCCCCTGAGCCCCACAACCCCTTTCTTGCCTCACCCCCATTATGTTCTCCCTGAACCTGGCAAGTGACAGTGATACAGCAAACGCCACGGCCAAGCCCTCCGGCTCACAGCGGGGCCAAATGCACCCAGCGAACTTCCTTTTGGCCCCTGCTAGGAGAGTGGTTTTTTTTTTTTTTAAAGAAAAAACAGGAACCAATCACCTATACTGCAGTTAATGAACAACCGCTTGGTTTTGATTCACACCAACTCCGTTCTGAGAAAGAGCTAAGAGCAGAGATTATGAAAGAAACTCAGGATTTCTTCATAAAACAGAGGCCTCGATGGTATCGGACCTCCGGAAAGAGGCCCACAGTTAACATCGCTTCATCACCCCCAGTCCTGATAGAGTCCCCCGACCCTGAGTCAGAATCTCAGCTAGTGCTTCTTAAAGAGAAGTGACCCCACACCCTGGGGAGCCCGCACCCCAACTTCCAGTTGCACTCGGGTCAACAGGCCTGTGACGTCCCTGTAATGAGGCTCCTCTTGTCTCCCAAGGAGTGGAGTCTGATTTGGGGTCCTAGAACTTGTGACCACATCAGCCACCAACCTGGGGCTTGGTTTTCCTATCTCTCAACAGGACGGTTGGGCTAAGAGATTCTAAACTTCCCTTTTGCTCCAAAATCCCGTGTAGAATTCGTTGACCTTCAGTGAGAGATTGAACCACCTTGACTAAAAGACTTGTCGCTCGGGTTCCCCTTTTGGGAGGGTTGGGTAAGACTCAGCTGGTTCTCAGGGTCAGCTAGAGAGGACCCTTTTGACTTCCTTTATGTTTAAACACTCAAGGGAGCCCGGGCACGGTGGCTCATTTCTGTAATCCCAGCACTGTGGGAGGCCAAGTCTGGGTATAATCTACTTCTGGGTATAGACCACTGCAAGGAGGATCACCTGCAGTCAGGAGTTCGAGACCAGCCTGTCCAACATGGTGAAACCCTGTCTCTACCAAAAATACAAAACATAGGCACCTGTAATCCCAGCTACTTGAGAGGCTGAGGCAGGAGAATCACTTGAACCCGGGAGGCGGAGGTTGCGGTGAGCTGAGATGGAGCCACTGCACACTAGCCTGGGTGACAAAGCAAGACTCTGTCCCCCAAAAAATAAAATAAAATAAGACTCAAGAGGAAAACAACATGTAGGAGTGGGAGGGAAATGAGCCCAGGTCAGGCCCAGGGGCCCCAGCAGAAAGTAATCCTCATCACCATCATCATCATCATCATCATCATTTTGAGACAAGGTCTCACTCTGTCACCCAGGCTGGAATGCAGTGGTGTGATCTTGGCTCACTGTAACCTTCACCTCCCAGGCTCAAACGATCCTCCCATCTCAGCCTCTCAAGTAACTGGGACTGCAGGCATACGCCACCACACCCGGCTAATTTTTGCATTTTTTGT